ATTTTTTAAGGAAATAAAGAAAAAAATTTTTAAAAATTAGCAACGAGGCAATATTTATGAAATCGAACTAGATTCGAATACCTGAATTAGGTCACCATAAATTTTATTACAGAAAAAGGGCACTCTTACTTACACTTTAAATCGTTGTCTTTTTTTGCTCAAACGCAGGAATAGACGATAAGAACATTTAAATGGGTTTAAGCTAACAAAAGAACTGCTTGGTATTGGAGAATGTATGTACAGCCCAAATAAATATATCCGCTGTATGAATCAACATGAAAAGATTTTTTGTCAAAAGTTTTTTAATCTTTGAAAAATTGGGTATTTCCCTATATTCGGAAATTTTCAAAACATGCCTTCATTTTTCAACTACAAACCATATTTACGTAACAAAAGGTACATAAAAGTAAACCAATAGTAATTTTAACAAATATAATTCAATTCTTCTAATGTGGATTTATTCGTACATATGCAATGGAAATTTTTCTCAGCAGCTTAGTGTAACAAAAATTGAAAATTTTAATTACTCATACGCCCTGCGCGCATTGAGGGCTGGATTGACACATACCAATTCAAAGCCAATTTACGACATAATTGTTAAGGACCCCTCCGGTCTGTTTGAGACCAAATTATTTGATCTGAGAATATATTTTTTTATTTTCACTTTTATTTCAACATAAGAGTTTCCGAAAATTTGGTCAAAAAGCTCTATGACAAGAAGGAATAACAGCCAAAATCATTTAAACTTTTTTTTTACAAAAAGGCCAATAGTTGCTTTTTTAAGTTTGGGTTTTATTCCTTCGTGGCATTTCTTTTTTATTTAATTTTTTAGAGACCTTTACGTTGTTTACATGAAGTTCCTGCCCCTCAAGGATTCTTGAAGTAAGGGTACAAAACGACTCATTCAAGTGGGAGCTAAGAATTTAGGAGTCTTTTCGACTTTTTTGAAAAACGGAAAATGAACACTTTGATAGGCCATAAAATAAAAATCCATCGATTATTTTATTCTGTTATTTGGTTCTGTATGTTAACAAAGTCCGCGATAGTTTCGGCTGTCGCATAGTGTAATAAGAGTAGTTAAACTGAATCGTTCCGTAAATGTTTTTTACAAGTGTAAGCCGAAGCATCTCCTCTCATCGACCATATTCGACCCTCGGAGTGTTCGAAAAAAATATTCTGTGGAAAATTAACAGGCATTTGGGCATTGGCGACGATGAATACCGCAAATAATTAAACGATAAGCTACACGAGCTGATTTAGTCACGTCGAACGAAAGAGTACAAAAGCTCCAGCTCAAAACTATTCTACGCGGTTCCCGCTGATAGTATACAAGTTTATGGTGTTAGGCATACGGGAGGGAAGTGAAGATGAGTAAGATTTTAGAACTCTGTGGATGGTCTGAAACTTCCATTGATGACTCTGTTTTTAAGTTCTGCTGCTGTACTGTTTAAGTGAAGCAAAGAATCCGATTATGCACAATTCTCAGTTTCTTAGTAAAGGGTTTCTTAGCAGCTATGATTTCACTGATACTTCATACAGTATATGTGTTGGTATAAGGGCGGTTCAGTAATATTTCTATAAAAGTTGCATATTAATTGGGCTTTTAAAGTGAGCCATGAAAATANTATTCGACCCTCGGAGTGTTCGAAAAAAATATTCTGTGGAAAATTAACAGGCATTTGGGCATTGGCGACGATGAATACCGCAAATAATTAAACGATAAGCTACACGAGCTGATTTAGTCACGTCGAACGAAAGAGTACAAACGCTCCAGCTCAAAACTATTCAAAACTATTCTACGCGGTTCCCGCTGATAGTATACAAGTTTATGGTGGTAGGCATACGGGAGGGAAGTGAAGATGAGTAAGATTTTAGAACACTGTGGATGGTCTGAAACTTCCATTGATGACTCTGTTTTTAAGTTCTGCTGCTGTACTGTTTAGGTGTAGTAAAGAATCCGATTATGCACAATTCTTAGTTTCTTAGTAAAGGGTTTCTTAGCAGCTATGATTTCACTGATACTTCATACAGTATATGTGTTTGGCTCCATTACATAAGGGCGGTTCAGTAATATTTCTATAAAAGTTGCATATTAATTGGGCTCTTAAAGTGAGCCATGAAAAATTTGACGTCCATACAAACAAAACAAAAATGAGGAATTGAACAGCTAATCCGTTGGGCAACGTAGCTTAATTGAGAGGGCGCGATCGAGAACTACAAGAACCTGCTATGTATTAGTCAGCTGTGAACTTTATGCGGCGTTAGGATTTAAACTTTTTAGGTGTCGTTTCTAACACACACCTGATAAGCTATGAATACCGATAATTTGCGAAAGTTTGTTATGCGGAAGAAGTTATGTTATTCTGCAAACTTGTACTCAGATTTTTAACCATCTACCACAGATATACGAAATAGTCGCGATAAAATTTAAGTACATAAGTATGTATTAATAGAACCTAATTCTAAGAAAATATTTTACAGTAAACTTTTCGTAGTCTGAAAATGAATATCATCAACAAATATTATCGTAATAAACAAGATTTTCCGGATAATAGCATTAGTCACCCCACTTACATTAAGAGAAGGTTGAATTTGGAAGCATACAGTGATTTCAGCATTCTCGCATACCAGCATACATACGTATATACATATATGCGCAACAACCCTATAGGGAAAATCTCTAGTTTTCATATGGTCCCTGCTAATACATTTAGATAACTGATAAATTTTTTGCAGTGATTTTATGGAAAATCTGAATTTTTTCGCTACCCCTTTTCAATTACTACATCAGTAAACTTTTAAATTTTAATAATTGCTAGCTTATTTTAGTTGAGTTTTATGATATCATTCAAAATTCTTTTTTGGTATGAGAAATTCACATCACTTCTTAATTAAACTCTGACCCACCAGAAATGTAAGCTGACATGAGCATGCAAAAATCAGAGACCGTAATAGTTAAAACTTTTATTAAAAAATCGCTCTTCAACAATTATTTTTTTAGTTTTATTTAATTACTCCTTAAATAACAGTTTTTTCTGCCTTTTATTTTATAAATCCAATATAACAATTATTTATGTTTTTTTTAATTAATTTAGATATTTATATTACCTATATGCCTTAGATAACAGTTATTGAAGACTTTTATTTATAAAAGTCATCAGTATAAGTCAGTCACGGACTTTTGATTTTTAAATCATACTTATAAAAGTCATTTGTAGAAGTCGTAGGAAACTTTTGTTCTCCAACACCTTCTTAACTGCGAAAAATGATAAGACTTTTATACGTGTGTTATAAAATAAAAATCAAAAATAATTTTAATAGTTTTTTTTTTAATTTTACAAAAAAATTACAAATAATTTTTTTCCAAATTTGATTCGCGGTGAAAAAAGAAATCGATTGGTATGTATCACTTAGTTGTAAAACATTTCCTTCATAGTGAATTTTTCAATGACAGTTTTCATCAATAACTGTTATGTTCGGTCCCTGGCAAAAACGCAATGATGTCGCCAACCGTAAGTGGTTTGAAACTTTTGGAAGCTCTGACCAGAAATTTTGATGGTAGATACAATACGTTGCAGTATTTGTCGCAAATAAGCGACGTAATTGGACATTTAGGAGAATGGCCTCTGTGGTACAATAAAAATTTGAACGGAGACAATGACATATTCGAAGAAGCGCCGGAAGCCAATTACGGAATGACGAATGCGGCTGATTTCAATAAACGAGAGTTCCTCAGGTTTGATCAGTAAAATAGAGTGTGTTTAGGTGATGCCATCCCATCATTCTCTTGAAAGCTGCGACAGGAGGAATCAAGGAAGATTACTAACCTTGACGTATGAATAACAACCAATCGCAAAGTGGCCTGTTGGAGCCCCTACCAGCAGCGAACGCTGAGACTTTTCAAGAATAAGGAGTTCCTTAGACCGCCCCGATACCCAATAGGCGTGAAAATCTTAAAATTGCGATTGTCCTTGTTTAAGCCAAATGAATGTCCAAGAGTTAATCAAAGGAGCTTAAAGATGCCACCAGTTGCTCCCTATCCGGTGATAGCATTTCATGGGTGCCTTTCTTTGCCATGTCGCCAGAAATACTCTGCGGTTTAGAGAGCGGTCAGATATTCTCTGAGCAATTTTGATTGCACCACCATAGCATTCACGGCTCCAACAGCGGCTTGACAATAAGAATAGATTTCCATCTCCCTCACTGACCCCACAGTCTTACTTTCAAGTTTTGATCCATCCGTGAGGAAATTTAGAGATAAGAAGCTACTGGGAACAATATTGGAGGCGCGGAAACCTGTATGATCAGAAATTAAATCAAAGACCTCCAGAACTACGGAGTGAGTTAAAAAATTTTTGAGTCTGCTTTACCATGCCGTTACTTTTACAGATCTCTAAATAAGATGGTTGGGCAGTCTGTTCTTCACTTCGTTTAGGTGCCGGGGCATTGTAACATACCGGGCAACGAAAAGACAGACGAACTTGCACCCCAGGAAGGGTTTAGGCCTGCCGCTCGTTATTTCCAAGTTAATTCAATGGGATCTATCTCTTAAGCTAGCAAGTGACAGGTGGGCTAGTCTCACCACTTGCAGCAGTACGACACTTAAGTGATCGAAACGTGACGGTTTCCTCATGATGAAAAGAGGATACTTAGCCATAGATGTGGGTCTACTAACAGGCCATATTCCGGAGAGTTTAGAGGTCCCCCATACTGATTCTGCGGAAGTTGCAGCAATGAACGAGAGCCAGAAACCTTGCGGCACCTGCTTTGCAAATGCCCCGCAGTTTGTGGAAGAAGACAAAACTTCATGGGTTCAGGGGTCCGTTAAACAAAATAGGCATATAGCACTCGTTGATAATTTTCTTGCAGGGGTTGTCTGCCTTTTTTTAGTAAAGTAACAGTTTCCATTTACTGTCATGGCTGAACATACCCGTTCCCAAGTGCAAACATTTATATGCTCATTGAATTAGGTAGTCGCGAAATACTTGTAGCAGCTAATCACATTCCGCAAACGCCAAGCGCTGAAAGTTGTCGGAGAATCTGAGTTCTAAAAAAGGCGGTCGATTGTTTTGGGTAAACATGTGTAAACACACATTCTAACAAACATAAAGTACATATGTATGTACATGTGTGCGACACTCGTTTTTATTAAAATCGCTGCAACACAACAACAATTGCGGAAAGCAAGTACAACCCAGAATAGTGGATCAACCAACACAAAAGCTTGCAATCGAATAACCGCGAAATATGTATAAAACCACTTGAGAACTTGCAAACTCACTTACATACAAGTACTTACATACATAAATATGTATTTAAGTATATGCGCATACACACAATAAACTTATGACGCTGCGCTGTTTTTGCGCGTAATTGAATAAATTCTTTTGAAAATTGTCAATTAAATAAAAACCGTAGCGGTCGCCTGATGCCAGAAGCAGTCACAGTTATTGCGTATTCGTTAGCGGATCACGCACGCAGATACAACATCGTCATAGCCGCACACGCAACTGTTAGGCACAAAAAAAAAATCGAATCGAAGTTAACAAAAACGATTAAATAGTGAAAGTGTGAATAATTAAATAACAAAAACAAAAAAAAAAAAATTGCCAAAAACCAAAACAAACAATGAAAAATATTGTGTTTATTTTCGCAGCAGCGTTGCTGTGCTTCTGCGCCACCGCTGCACGCGCCGATCTACTCGATTGCAATGAGAAAATCCTACCATCTTTGTCAGATGTGCCTGTCATTGGACCAAAAGTGGCCAGCTCCGAGGACAGCGCTGAGCATCAAGTACGCGATTTCTTCAAAAACGTTGGCTGTCAAATAAAGAAAGGCGCTGCAAAGGTTTCCGAACAGGCCAAAAAGTTGGGCACCGAACTGAAGGAGGGCGCAAAGAAATTCGGTGATAAGGCGAAGGATCTAGGCTCTGATCTAAAGGATAAGTTTGGCGATTTCAAGGATAAATTTTCGAGCGATTCTGTAGAGGAGGAGCGCACATCGCATGGCCTATTGCGCAATGTGGAAATCATAAATCCAGATCTGCTGAAAGCCGAACAACAATGCGGCCATGGACACATTTTGGATGCATTGGGCAATTGCAGCAAATTGAGGAAGTGAAGTTTTGTGTAAGAGCGAAACGCGAATTTATTTAGTTCCTCAAGAGTGATGTAAATTTCCAAAGAATATGAAATTACTGTGAATTTAATGCAAGAACTAACAATTAAATTTAAATTACATACAAGTAGCTGTCAAGCTTAAAAGCTGAAAAGTTTCATTTGTGCGTAACAATTTAAATTGATATGAACTGAATACTAGCATCAGTATTTGAGCTCGTTTAGTGCCAAAAAATATTAATTGTATCTAAAAAGAAATTATTTGAAATGCATATGTATGTAAGCTTTTATTATATGTATATATGTTCAACGACTTTGTTACTTTTAAGTTTAAGATGAATTTTATATTGCTTCTAAACATAATGGATTTATCAGTTTAAATAGTTACATATGTACACATACAAAAATTTAAATTAAAGAAAACATAAAAATATATTAGCACAAGCCATCTAAATACACTGTAGACGCCAGCGCAATTAAATAGAAAGTTTTATTTCACACTCAAGGATTCATTGGGTTTATTAAGGATGGCCAACTCCAAAACTACCGTTTATTGGCATTAGTTGGGTTTAGGAATGTTAATCCCGGTATCGCGGCCTTTTAAGGGGATTGATGGCAATAATTCAAACTAATTTTCTTGACCAGTATTGGCTACATTTCTTTTTTTATTAAATAATTAATATTTGTTTATAAATGTTTAGCTCAGTGTATATTACCGTGGGCCGAAAATCCGCTTTTTTAGAATTTTGATTGGTAATAGCAAAAATATGGTTCATTATGCTCTAAAAATAATTGGTGTGAAAGATGACAAGTTTTGGTCAATATCTTAGGCTCGCCCAAGTGCATCAAAATTCAATGTGCTTGATAACATCTTCGAATTTCGTCCTTTTAACTTTATCCTTGTGAATCCAAAAAATTTTAGTTTTTTTTTAATTCTAAAGCAATTTCCTCTTGCATTTGGTACCCATATTTTCATTTTATATTCCGTTGAATTTTTTAAATAATTTTTGGAATTAATCATATCTTTGAAATTACAAAGTCCTTTAAAATAAGTCCTGACGTCAGAGAGAAAAAATTTAAGTAAGCCAATTTAAGTAAAAAGTAGGTTTCAAACCCATTTATTTGTTATTTATTTTATGGTAGGAGAGATAGGAGCAATTTTTTCGATTTAAGTTGTTAAAAAGTAATGAATGTCTAAATCCCGGGATCCCGGGACGACGTCTCGAAAATCCTGGGATCGGAAAAAGCTGATAAATTAATATCCGTAGTTGGGTTATATTGGTAGTGGAAAACCTCGAATGAATTAATATTCATTCAACCAGCCTGATTGATAAAGTTGAGTGTTTTGTGGAAACTCATATCAGAAAGTTTTTTTAATGGTAGAAAATAATAAACCAAAAATATTTAAAATAAAAAAAAAACAAGTAAGGAAGTCCAACAATAAATATCCGGCGAAGCCGAATATTAAATATACTTTTTTCACCTTTCCGAAAACTACCGTTGCATGGTAAGCAGGGGGTGTTTTACCCCTATTTCAAAAATCTGCGACAGTATGTTCAGTTTGACCTAATGAGATAAACTTCTGCAGTCATAAATCGGCGGTGCCCCGCCCATTTTCCAAAAATTCCATAATAATCTTGCGTCTTTCTAAGAGATTGGTGTGACTTTCACTGAATGAACGTCTTTGAATTTCGAAATAAAAGTCATGTGTTTGTCCTTGTGTAGCTCATGCATTTCATAATATTGTCATTTTGAACAGACATCCGATTTTCACGCAACCATCACCCCTGACAAAGCTTCACAGGGCAGAGCCTTAAAAGGGTGTGAAATTTTAAGAAACGAACACATAATTTTCTCACCAAAGATTTTTTGGTAGAAACAAAATCATAATAAGTTACCATTATATATGGAATGTTTTCCGATTTAAAAAAAGTTCATCCGTTTGGTATGTTTTACCAAGAGCAAGAACTGTGAGAGTTTCAGGCCACGCCCATTTTCTAAAAATTTATACTGTTCTTATTTTCCGCAAATTTTGAGTCAAAAAGCTTCAGTAGTTACTAAAATATCGTAGTTTTCGTATTTCCGTCAACTACCGTTACATTGCAGGTAGGCGTGATTATAATTATATTTTCCCCATTTTCAACATCATCTATTCTTGGCTCAAAAGAAATACATGTACCAAGTTTCGTTGAGGCACCTCAGTTTCTACTCGAGTTATCGTGTGCACAGACGAACAGACAGTCTCGACTTAATCAATCTATCTTTTCATTCTGAGCATTTGTCTATATCTATCTCGATTCCTGTAGGCAGTTACCCACAACCGCTATATGAACAAATTGATAATATTCTTGTGCAAAAAATATGCGTGATCAAAATTATGCACAAGTACTTTCTGTCAAAAAAGCTTTGTACCATAAGCAGACAAGGGAGCTTTTTTTGTAAGACTTTCGTGCCATAATAAATAAGGGAAATTCTGGCTAATATAGTAAAAGCCCTTCTTAAGACAAATGAAAGACAGATGCCAAGATAGTTCGAAAGACTGTTGTTATTCTAGCACAAAGGTCGTAAAAAAAAACTCTCTAATTCACATCTACAGTGGTGAAAAGATATAGTGGGAGAAAGCTCTTGTATATTATTTAGCTCACGTCGCTGGAACGATCGCAATGGCCGAGTGAGCAAAGCCCAGGCTTGCCATTCGAATGATCCGAGTTCGAGTCTAGGGCAGCGGATTTTTTTCTTTTTTATTTAATTTTCTTTTAGTTTTTAGATTTTATTGTTTTAAAAAGAAGAAAATTTTGTTTTTAATTTCATAAAATTTTTAGAAACTTACTTTATTTTTTCTATTTTGCACAATTTTTTCCGTTTACTTTTCATGTTTAGCTTTTATTGTTTTTAAAAATTATTTTTTTATTTTCATTTGAATTTTCTAAATTCGTTTTATTAATTTTTTCCCTTTTTTCTTTTAATTTAGTTCGTTTTTATTTCCCTTATTTTATTTTCTTTTAAATTTTGATTTTATGGCTTTAAGTAAAAAAATATTATTTTTAATATTTCATTTTTTTTTTTGATCTAATATTTTTCTTCTTCTAATTTAGTTTTTACATTTTATTTGTTTTTCAGAAGAAACACATTTTTACTAAACTTTGTTTAATTTTTTTAAATATTTTTTATTTAGTTTTCATTTTTATTCAAGCTTTTCGTTTAATATTCTTTAATTATTTACTCTTGATTGTTTCAAAAGGAAAAATACGAAATAATTTTGCCTTTCGAGAACTGTGGTGAGTGGAAAGACAGTTGCCAAATAGTCCTGAAAGTTCTCTGTGCTATCTTGCCTACTTTTTTTTGAATTGTCTAACAAAAAGCTTTCAACTTTCTTAGCCAGAATTGTACTGTTAATGATGTTTAAAACCTCTATATCGGCCTCTTTAATTTCGTCTTGCTACGAAGGTTTCGTACGTATAAAGCTCGGAATTTAAAGACTTCAAAATTGTATTTTGGAACCAACCTAAAGAATATAGCAATTTGAAAATACTCCACGAACAGTTTTACTTTTTTATATATTTAGCTATTTTCATATGGATCGAAGTGGTAATAAGAATAAGGTTAAAAGCAAGCAGAGTGTAGACGAAGCAGATTAAAAATATGAAACTGAAGCTGAAGAATAAGAAGAAAAAAAGTTCAATATCTAGTAAAGAAATGTATTTTGCAAAAGTTAAAGATGAGGATGTTGTATATGTACTCAATTGCAAGCACTTCGTTTGCAGATTCGTCTTTGTTTTCATTCTGTTGTTAAATCTCGTCTCGTAAATTAATACAGAGTCAAACCTAGCAGGTAAAATTGCAAACACAATTTAATGCAGAAGAACCTCAACGAATGTCTGCCAAGCATGTAAAGTTAAAAGAAAATGAAATTCAAGCTATAAACACAAGCCAACTGATTTAACGAATATTGTTAAGTGAAGCATAGAACTGACGAAAAAGAATTT